GCCGTAAAAGCAGTTTGAGTGATGCTGAAAAGAAAACCATCACCTCAGAACTCCCAAAAGGTAAATCTACCCTATAAATTTCTAAAATGATAGGGAGGTGTCATCAAACAGCGAAAAAGTTCATCGCCGACCCTACACAAGTACGCAAAAGGGAAGATAAAGGCAAACCGAGGGTTATTTCATGTTGTCTCATGTCATGAGTTAAACGAGAGGCCACGAATAACCCTGGACTTACCAGTCAAGAGCTTTTCAGTTGCATTTGGTATCCTACTGTGTCTAAAAGTACTCGGTGTCGGTATCTGAGGGAAATAGCAAAAAAAAAACTTGTATCGAAGCCTCCGTTGACGAGAAATCACATTCAAAATCGATTGAAATGGGCCGAGGACAATATGAAGATTGACTTCTCTAAAGTTTTGTCCACAGACGAAACTCGAGAAACACTTGATCGGCCAGATAGATGGTGCAAAGGATGGGTAATGAATGGACAGAATCGCCATCAGCGTTTGAGACGCCAACAAGGCGGTGGAGGCATGATGATCTGGGGTGGTATTATTGGAAATACATTAGTGGGCCCATGGAGAGTACCAGATGGCGTCAAAATGACTGCTGATGCATACATAGCGTTTATGAAGGAGCATCTTGAACCGTGGATGAAAAGGCAAGGAGTTGCCTTCAGAAGGGCCGTTATGCAATATAATGCTCCCTCACATGCTGCTCAAAAGACTATTGAATATTTGAAACAGTTAAGCTTCGATGGACCTCGAAAACTGAAGTGGCCAGCAAATTCTCCGGATTTGAACCCAATCGAAAACCTTTGGAGCATCATGAAGCGAAGACTGTACGCCAACGGACGACAATTCAGGAGCAACGCTGAGTTGTGGGAAGCAATTCTTGACATATCTCGCGGCATTACAACAGATGACATCCTACAATTAACAAATTCTATGGATCGTCGACTTCTTCAAGTAATTTCAAAACAGGGAAAGCACATTCTCTATTAATTTATTTAAAACTGTGCCTTTGTTTGTATTTGTTATTATTTGTTTGATTATCTTATTTATTAGCTTCTATTGATCATAGACATTCACGTGCGACATTAATAAACGTTTTGTGTGCTCAATTCTGGAATTTTTACTAAACCTTTCTAATAATTTTGCACGCTCAAATCACCGTACTGATAACAATAATGGCGCCAGTTTTTTTACATTGCACAGATCAGGTCGAAACTTTCAGTGATTGCGCAGGTCAGTGTTACCAACATTGTGTGAAAATTTTGTGTGAATTGATTGGACGGTTTTTGAAATATTATGAAAAAAGTTATCTCGTTAATAATTTGGCACGCAGTGTATATATATATATATATATATATATATATATATATATATATATATATATATATATATATATGGTACCGGCAAAAAAAAAGTGCTTTTGATTATTTTACTAAACTTAACCAAACAACCTAGAAGGTTTTTGGTAAAAAATTTTGGTTTTTCTTTTGACTGTGGGTGGGTCAAAGGATTATATTCGGAATTTTAGCATCTTTTTTGCAGTAAAAAACATTGTTTTGGAAATTCTTGCAAAATTCTAATAATTTCCGCATTTTCAGGATATATTCACAAATGAATGAAATTAGTTTTGAAATATTTTTTCTAGAAAATCCTGGTAAAATTTTTTTTTTCTTACCCCAATTACTTAATTTTGTGAAATTTCGAGAAATTAAAATTCCAGGGTCTTTGTATTTATATCATTTAAAAGCAGGCCTCATTTGAAAATTTGTTTTATTACTAGTTTTATTCTATCTTATTATTGTATAATATGTATAGCTCATTGACAACAAATTTAGTACAGTACATAAGAATATTGAACAGGCTGGGTCACAGGTAATTTCGCCAAACACCGAACACAGCCTAGTAAACATTAACCTAATAACTCTAGTCATGTTATTAAATTATTAAATACTCTGTTAACAGACTTTCATATGAATTCCATACATAGAGCCAAAATCAGAAATTTCTAAAAGGCATAATCAAGATCTTGGCGTTTCAAACAAAAAGCTAAGAAGTAAGTCCATATCATTACTAGTAAGAGCTATAACAGTTACTGGACGGGAGACAATTACTCTTCTGAAAAATCGTTTTAGTAGAAAGATCTTAAGAATAGGTATAGCATATTATAATATTAACCGTTTCCTTCGTTCAGCATTCATTGATTGAGCACTTAGACTTGCTGTCAGTTTAATTTTATAAAATACTAGTCGAGTTACCCGTGCCTTGCTGCGTGTAACACATTTTTTGTAAGAAAATATGATTGATTTTACATCATTATTATAATTTGTAGAGAAAAATGATTCATTTCAATATTACTTAATGATCATGACCTCCATCTTCTGGCTTTCTCCTTCTATATTTTGAATAGGAGTCATTTCCTTGTTCAAATTTAAATTTAATTTAAATCGAAGGTGAAAAATATTTGGAGGTGGGTCCTCACGCGGACCCTCTTTGATCAATATGTAATATACTTATCTAAGTACCCTGGTTAATGTAGCTTCAGAATATATATGATTATGCAGGTCTATCTCCAGAACCCTAGGAGGAGTTTGATGAATTGATGAGCATATTTCAACACTGATATGATAGTTGAATTGTCGCAACAAAGACGTATTGTAAGGCACTACCGACTGATTGGGGATTCCTTGCTCAACTTGACGTCCATATTGTTTCATATTGATCTTGCCGATGTGACCTACATCTTCTGGCTTTTTCCTTCTTTATTTTGGATAGGAGACATTCCCTTGTTCAAATTTAAATTTAATTTAAATCAAAGGGGAAAAATATTCAGTGGAGGCTTTGTGTCCCAAAGGGACTCCCTTGATCAAAATGAAATTTACTTATCCGAGTAGCCCGGTTAATTATTAGTTTCAGAATATAAATGTTTATGGTGTCTATCTGTAAAACCCTAGGAAAAGTTCGATAACAAACAGACAGACAGAGGCTACAACTTCATATATATATATAGATTTCTTAAAACAATTTTTAAAAAACGGTTTTCTAAAATCCAATTGCTGTTAATGTTCCAGTATTGATGGCTGTTTTCTTCCTCATCTTTTGTTCAAGGTAGTTTTGAACGTCAACATCTTGATTATGTCTTTATTATCTCTGCAGGTTACATTTTAGTTGTTGCTCCTGTCGAAACTCCTCAAGATTCTGTTATCTGGTATGTTTTTTTGTGATACGGGAACGCCCATCCACAAAGATCCATTGCAAAATGATTTTTAATATATAGATTTATTGTTTACACTATTTACATGGTTCGGTCTGTTGTCCTCATCTTCGTTGCCATATTCAACAACATTTCGGTCGTTGTACGCGCCGGCCTTCTTCAGGATCTGTCTATATTTCTGAGATGAGGTATTGTAATTATTTTCACTATTTAAATTGTTCGGACTGTTGTCCTCATCTTCGTTGCCATATTCACGACATTTCGGCTGTTGTACGCTCCGCCATTCTTCAGGATTTTTCTATATTTCTGAGATGAGGTATTGTAATTATTTACACTGTTTACACTGTTTGGACTGTTGTCCTCATTTTCGTTTCCATATTCACGATTATTCAGCCGTTGTACGCTCCGGTCTTCTTCAGGATCTGTCTATATTTCTGAGATGAGGTATTGTAATCATTTACACTATTTACATTTTTCTGAACTGTTGCCCTCATCTTCGTTGCTATATACACGACGTTTCTACCGTTGTACGATCCAGCCTTGTTCAGGTGACAGGAATTTCGAACCGAACACTTTATTTCGTTCACCGGGGTAGATTGTTCTAGTTCCACGTGTCATGCCTCTTCCGAGTGTCTCAGTATCAGTTTTCTCCCCTTTAAATCTACCTTCCAAGGTTTTTGTTCACCTCTGCTGTAGCCAGGTATTGAGCTCACAACTCTTTGGCTCAAACCACTGGATTCACGCTTTTATCTGCAGGGACACATTTCCTTGATAATTACAATAAATCATCTTGGAAAGTGTTATGGGGTCCTCCCCTTTTCATATAAGTGGACTCTACCAGTGTTACTTGGAGTTCTGCCGTTAAATACCCAGAGTTTGACAGTCAGAGAGAGGATATACGGGGACAGTCAGAGAATATAGAGTGAGGTAACCTCGTGTAGAAGTCAGTTACAAGCACGTAGACTCTAAGGAAGTCCTACTTCGAGACTGTATATATCTATCTGTATTTGCTACTAACCGCATTCCTGGACTTACTAACAGTATTACTCTTTGTATGATTGTGTAAATACATTTTATTTCTTATATTCAATTATTGCGTTTGTCATTCCTTGGAGACCGAATTCATCTCGGAATCCACAACAGATAGATAGACAGATATAAATGTATTGCTACTGATGGTTTATTGAAATACACTGCTAGCAATTTTCCTATGGATAGACACTGATATTTTTTTTTGTTTTTTAAACATACGCAAGGGGTTACAGAGAGTGAGAACAAGATTAAAGACGTGTGCTTGAGGAAAGGATAAAGAGAAGGACGCGGATCAAGATCAAGTCATCAGAGGATGTCGATTGACATTACATTTGAATATTTCAAGTTTATAGCTATCAGGGAAGCAAGGATAAGGAAGGGAGTTGCACGGTCATGGAGTGCGAGATAAGAAGCTGTTGGAGTAGAAGAGACGGCTACATTTAACCGTTTTGACAGTGAAAGGGTGGGACCGAAATGCCAACCGCTTAAATTCATGCAGTTGGTGGACCCGTGAAAGTACCTAGTCAGAGCCGTTGCCATGAAAATAATTGTAGCCACAGCACGTCTGAACAGAAACTGAACAACATATTTATATATTAGATTACAGGAACTGTAAGGCATATATCACTTATTGAAATAAGCTGAACAGAAAAGAAAGCTTTATAAATCTGAAATCTCAGCTGCTTGCCAAACTCGCTAATGTCTCACATATAAGTCTCAACAGCTATCTAAGAGCTAAATCATAGAATCCCTCTCTCAAATGTTTGTTTGCAAAGCCAAACCATGATAAAGAATTAATTATCTATCTATCTATCTATCTATCTATCTATCTATCTATCTATCTATCTATCTATCTATCTATCTATCTCACTCTTTTTCTATCTATCTATCTATCTATCTATCTATCTATCTATCTATCTATCTATCTATCTATCTATCTATATCACTCCTTTCTTTTCTTTCTTTCTTTCTTTCTCACTCTTTTTCTATATATCTATCTCACCCCTTTTCTATCTATCTATCTATCTATCTATCTATCTATCTATCTATCTATCTATCTCACTCCTTTTCTATCTATCTATCTCACTCTTTTCTTTTCTTTCTTTCTTTCTTTCTTTCTTTCTTTCTCACTCTTTTTCTATGTCTATCTCACTCCTTTTCTATCTATCTATCTATCTATCTATCTATCTATCTCACTCTTTTTTTTTCTTTCTTTCTTTCTTTCTTTCTTTCTTTCTTTCTTTCTTTCTTTCTCACTCCTTTTCATTCTATCTATCTATCTATCTATCTATCTATCTATCTATCTCATTTTCTATCTATCTATCTATATCACTCCTTTTTTTCTTTCTCACTCTTTTCTATATATCTATCTCACTCCCTTTCTATCTATCTATCTATCTATCTATCTATCTATCAAAGTACTGTGATTAAGCTGCGGATATTTCAAGTTTATAGCTATCAGGGAAGCAAGCAGGAGGAAAGGAGTTCCACTGTCGGAAAGTCTGAGAGAATAAGCCCTTGTAGTAGAAGAGATGGCTATATTTAATCGTTTCAACACTGAAAGGGTGGGACTTAAATTCATGCAGTTTGTGTACAAGTGAAATAGCTTGTCAGAGCAGTTGCCATGAAAATATTAGTAGGAAAGACAAAGGGAAGCTACAGCATGTCAGTGTGAAAGTGACTGTAGGCGAGATGCCAGATCAGGACCTATCACATTGCACATCCGTCTCGGAATTTTGTCGGAGATGAACAGCGAGGGTACCAGACCATATATGGCAACAATATTCAAAGCAAGGACGAATGGTTGATTTGTAGCTTTGAAGGATGGACTGTAAGGAAGTGTTTCAAAAGAACTGCAAGCCTTAATGACTAAACGGGATATATATATATATATATATATATATATATATATATATATATATATATATGTAATATATACTCGTTTCGAAAAACGTTCGAATTTTTGATTTGTCAATAATCACATCAATCCCGAGGGAAAAAAAAAGGTTTTAAAAAAAGAAAGAGCTAGAAACATGAAAGTCTGTCGAAAAAAAATCGCACAAATACAGGACTGAAGCCCAAAGAAAAAACCCCGACACGAGTAAACAACTAACTAACAAAAGAGCTCAATACAACCGTAGAGCAGACTTTGGTTTATCTAGATCTATCTATCTATCTATCTATCTATCTATCTATATATATATATATATATATGTAACGTAAATGAGTTGTAATCAATTGCGTGGAAATATACTGTGAATGATTTATTTTATAGTTGTGCATTGATACGAATTTCCTTACAGATGTAGAATGAAAATTGGCAAGGAGGCGATCAGCGGTGACCATAAAAATGAAATCAAGCAATTCAGAAGAAAATGCATAGATCTATTGTAATAACTACAAATGTATTACGCGATGATAAGCTGCTTTGAAAATCCGCCATATCCAGGCCTGCAGCTTTAAGATGACAGAATGAAAAAGGGAGTTTTTATCTCTAATGTCGCACATGTACGCCCGAGGACTGACTTCGTGATGTGCTCATGCCTTGGGCGTGTTATCATTCAATATTTCCCTGCAATGGTCATTAATCGTGGTGACGTCGGGTGTGGGGGAAGGGAACTGGGGAGATTTTGAACGGGTTGGGCACCGAGATGTGGATTTAGGTCACTTTGGTTGATTCCCTTTTCATTTCGACGGGCTGTTGTAAGTACCCGGATGACAGGCTTCCGCCATGTTGAGTAGGCAGTTGGCTTCTTGTTTCGTATTTGCAACCGTAACGAGCGCGCGCTTGTCGGGCGCTTTGAATAAATTCCGATGCAGGCAGAGAGTTATTGTCGGAAATTGAATTCGGAAGTGCATTAGAGACAGGCGGGATGGAAAGAAAAAGGAGAACTGGTTTCAGATAATGGAAAGACGGGGGACATGGCGGAGAGAAATAGGGAAAGGGCGAGGGTGTAAAAAGAAGCAAAAGAAACAAAGAAAAAGAGGGTTGAAGAGGGACTAAAGGGAATGGGATGGAGGGAAAGAAAGGATAGAAAGTGTGCAAGAAAGAAAGAAAGAAAGAAAGAGAGAGAGAGAGAGAGAGAAAGAAAGAAAGAAAGAAAGAAAGAAAGAGAGAGAAAGAAAGAAAGAAAGAGAGAAATAAAGAAAAAGAGGGAGTAGGAAAGAAAGGAAGAAAGAAAGAGAGAAAGAAAGAAAGAGAGAAAAAAGAGAGAAATAGAGGGAGAAAGAAAGAAAGGAAGAAAGAAAGAGAGAAAGAAAGAGAGAGAAAAAAGAAAGAAATAGAGAAATAGAAGGAGAAAGAAAGAAAGAAAGGAAGAAAGAAAGAGAGAAAGAAAGAAAGAGAGAAAGAAAGAAAGAGAGAAATAGAGGAAGAAAGAAAGAAAGGAAGAAAGAAAGAGAGAAAGAAAGACAGAAAAAAGAAAGAAAGAGAGAAAGAAAGAAAGAGAGGGTGAAAGAAAGAAAGAAAGAGAGAAAGAAAGAACGAAATGAAGAAAGAAGGAGAGAAAGAAAGAAAGAAAGAAAGAGAGAAACAGAGGAAGAAAGAAAGAAAGAGAGAGAGAGAGAAAAAAGAAATAAGGAAAGAAGAGAAAAAAGAAAGAAATAGAGGAAGAAAGAAAGGAAGAAAGAAAGATAGAGAGAGAGAGAGAGAGGAGAAGAAAGAAAGAAAAATAGAAGAAAAGAATGAGGTGGAAAGGGGGACGAATGAGGAGAGAGGAAAGACGATGGTAAAAATAAAAGAAACTATGTTAAAAAAGAGGGAAATGAAAAGAGGAGGAGAAAGAAGACACAGAGAATGTATTTGGGCTTAAGTGAATATAATGAACCCAATAGGAATTGGAACTCTGCTCTACGATTAACAATTTCGAGCTATTATCTATTACACCACCCGCACATCCAAGTTTACAGCACCTGGTAATCATATGCAGTCACCCACCTAGGGTTGACGTTGTTTCAACGTAATGTGGTCTTAAGCCAGAGAGAGAGAGAGAGAGAGATAGAGAGAGAGAGAGAGAAAGAGAGAGAGAGAGAGAGAGAGAGAGAGAGAAAAGAGAGGTATGGTGGGTCCTAGCCGTGAAGATTAGACCTGGCCGAACCAAGGAATGTAGATCGTTCGATCACTTTTCATGGAAGTCACGATAGTGAGAGGCTTACTACATCTCGACTGTGGGAGAGAGATTGGAAGACGGAAAATAGATCATCATCCACAAGGACGCGGAGACGCTTTATATCAAAAATTGTAAAGTCAGGACTGGGCAGCTCTCGCTCAAATATTACAACAGTTCTCCCTGTTTTTCCTGATCTGGTTCTTGTAATGGTCAAAGATAGCATGAGGAGTCAGGTACTTACTGGAGCGGTACAAGGAGCCGAAAATTTTGCCCTTATCTTTAGCGATGGGTCGTGTGTACAAATCCCTTTGAGGCCAGGTCTGAGTTTTAGGCCCAATATTATCTCAAGGCACGGTACCTCCTAGAGGGAACATCCGTTCATTGTGATTAGCGGCAGTTCGGGTTCTGCTCGGCGACGATGGAATGTAACTAGTTTAGTTTTCGAGCCAACGAAAGTAATCAGCCATTTTTTCACCTTACTGGGTGGTTAGTGCTAGAACGGATGAGAGAAGAGCTGGTCAAACTCTGATGGTCAAGCGATTGACAGGTGCAGCCGGTTTATAGTCGTATCATCGGCGTAGATGTTTACAATTGACCCTCGGAGGACTTGCCGTTTATAACTATCTTCGGTAGGGATTCTATTCAAGAGCTAAGCCCTTTTATTCAAGACTTAAACTCTCTTTTAGACTGAAGTTCTTTCCGTGAAGACATAAGTATTTTAGTCTGTTCGTATCTATCTATCTATCTATCTATCTTCACATCTATATATTTCTGTTTCTATTTATCTAACTATACACACGCCTATATATATATATATGTATAGTTCTCCACCTATCTATCTATCTATCTATCTATCTATCTCAGTCTGTTCATATCGATCTATTTCTGTTTCTATCTATCCACACACACACACACACACACACACACACACACATATATATATATATATATATATATATATTCATGTTTCATTAAAAACGACAGACAAGATGATTTCTGGACAAAAAGTGTATAAAAACTGTCCAAATGTTTTATATTTCCGAGCGCTTTTGGCTATACATTTAGCCATTATCAAGGATGATTTGACTTTTCAGCTTAATTGAGTCTGTGCATTATGTGTATGTCTTAGTGTGTAGTAGGGATGTTTTAATTTTCGAATACGGTCGGCACATTGTGGCCTCGTTCGTAGTTAATATTGTTAAGAGTTGGCTTTTTCTTTTTTATTATTAAAGCTTCCATTATTTTTAGTCTTTTTTTGCAGGTGGATGCAGTTAATATATTTGTTTTCTACTAGTATGTTCCTAATGGAGTCTGGTAAATTTGTGTGTGTGTTTAAATGGGTTCTAATGGAGCTGTGATCAGATAGGTGTAACGTAAGTCGTCTGGATAAGCATGTAGTTGTGTAGCCGATGTAATTATTTATGAGTTCAGTTTGATCAGGAACACAGTTCCTTAAGGGGCATTTGAACTCGTAGATAATGTTCGTTCTTGGTAATTTTGACTTAGCTGGTGTGTTGTTATTTTTTAGGGTTACGTTAGCTGTCTTAAATATTTTATAATAGATAATTAATTTGATTTTTTTATTCGGGTCAATTGAGGTAGCGTATTTCTTTATGATATGTCTTAGTGAATATTCGTCTTGTTTGTAATTAAGGTGCACTTGGTTTTTGTAGTAAATGTATATGTGATTTTTGACTGTGTGTTCACTATCGTTATTGCTTACTTTGGGGAGAAATGGTCTAATTTGGTGGTCTATAAGGTGGTTAAGGAAGCCGTTGTTTAATATATATATATATATATATATATATACTGATTCCTTTAGACAGTATGTATGTATGGAGAGGGAATATACATGTATATACTAGCCAGAACCACTCGCACACATAATAGATAAAAATAGAAATAGATCCAAGTGTCTCAGGGGTCATAAGAAATAAGAAGACATCATTTCTCACCCTTTCTTCGACCAATCGAAATGGTTTTATTACCCAGTACACAGAAAATCTCATTTGCCACTGGTCCAAGAAAGGCATCAGGACAACTACAAAACAATGGTTAGACATCGAAAAGCAAAAGGAAATTTTATTCTTTTTAATAATATGAGGAAAGATCTACTCTTCACCTGAAGAAGGACGCAAGACTGGAAACGCGTGTAGCAAAAATATGGAAAATAAAATATAATATATATGGAAAAAAAATCCATATTATAACTAAAAACGATTGCGGTTTCTCTCTTCTTTTTTAAAATACAACTATAACCTCTTCCCTATATATATATATATATATATATATATATATATATATATATATATAGGCGCACACACGCACATATATATATCAGGTCATCCCATTAGTTCTGTCTGAATTTTAACTTTTTGTTTAAATGAACGAAATTTAAAGAGTATTTTATAATGTCTAATGGAGCTGAACATTATTTTTATGTTTAGATGCATTTAAACTGATCAAATTTTATTTCAGAGAACAATAAAATTAAATTTTGTTTTCTTAAAACCCTGCTAACATGGAAGTACCCAAGAATCATTTGAGGCACATAATGCTTTATGAGTTCAAGAAAGGAAACTCAGCAGCCGAAGCGGCTAGAAACATTCACTCAGTTTATGGAGAGGAATGTGTGAATGAAAGAACTTGCAGAAGATGGTTTGCAAAATTCAGAGGTGGAGATTTCACCCATGAAGATGAAGATCGAAACGGACGTCCAGTTGAGTTTGATGAAAAGCTTCTTGAAGCAGCCCTTGAAGAAAATTCTGCTTTATCAGTTGAGAAATTGGCAGTGGTTCTCAGTTCAACCATACAACTGTTCATCGTCATCTTCAACAACTTGGAAGAGTTCCTAAACTTGCAAAATGGGTGCCTCATGAATTGTCTGAAAACAACCTCAAATCCCGAGTTGACATCTGCTCTTCTCTCCATTCTCGCCAACTTGCTTCCCCTTTTTTGGATAGACTTGTGACTGGCGACGAAAAATGGATCTTTTATCGAAATGCTAAGCGTCGTAGACAGTGGCTTGGTAAAGGGGAAGAACCACAGCCGAGAAGGGAACTTCATGGGCAAAATGTTCTTTCAATCGCCAAGGAATAATCCACTTTGAATTCTTACCATCTAATGCAACAATTAATGTTCAAATATACTGTCAGCAATTAGAGCGTTTGAACCAAGCTTTGAGGAAAAGAAACCTGCTCAAGTGAATCGAAAAGAGGTGATGTTAATGCGCGACCCCACACAGCAAGAATCACGTCACAAAAGATCAAAGAACTTGGTTGGGAGAAAATTCCTCATCCACCTTATTCTCCCGATCTTGCTCCTTCAGACTACCATTTTTTTCGTAGCTTACAGAATCATTTGGAAGAAACAGCTTTCGTAACACAGGAAGAAGTTAAAACTGACATTTGCGAGTTCTTCGAATCAAAGCCAAAAGAATTTTACAGTAATGGAATTAGTAAGCTTGTTAATAGATGGAAGGAAGTTATAGACAATCAAGGAAAATACATTGTTGATTGAATCTGTAATTAAATGTAACATTTGGTCACTTGTTTTCTTTATTCAAAATTCGGACAGAACTTATGGGATAACCTGATATACATATATATAATTTTTTAAAATATAATATATATGTAAAAAGAAAAATCCACATTATAACTAAAAACGATTGCGGCTTCTCTCTTCTTTTTAGAATATACAATTTTCTCTCGTTGTAACAACTATAACCTCTTCCATATATATATATATATATATATATATATATATATATATATATATATATATATATCTTCATCTATCTATCTATCTATCTATCTATCTATCTATCTATCTATCTATCTCCGTCTATTCATATCTATCTTTCTGTATAAGTATGAATAGGCGGAAATTCTCTGTGTTATTTTGGATTAAATATGACTTATAGAATTTTTTGTCTATCCGTTCACCTATTTTTTATTTTTTAATAATGATTCCTTTGTACTTTTTACTTTACTTATTTTACTGCCATTCAGAGAAAAAGGAAATCACGTGACGCTCAGTAATAATAAATTAGTTTTGATCTTCAAGAGAACAGCCAATCAAATCTTTTTATTTTGCCATTGTTGACAGCAAAGTTTACTCACAATACTGTTCGAAAGAAAGAATTATTCAGCGCGGAGTTCGTTCAACTCACAGAGATGTGCATTTTACTTAGTTTTTATAGGAGCGGAGAGTGTGATTTGCGCGTTTTTTATTTGCTTTTATTCATGGTAAATGTCTTGTTCAATGAAGATAATGTCGATATATTTTAATGGAATTCACCCCATGCAAGGCACAAAAGGTTGCTGAATGTGAAAGAATAAGAAAAAAGACAACAATCATTATCGTAATTTCTCGAAAATAATACGCACCCGTAAATAATACGCACCCCAACAAATGATCCAAAAATGAAGAAATGTATCTATCCCTATGTATAATACGCATCTATAAACTTAAAAAAAATAAAAATAAAATAAAATAAGTAAATAAAGTAATTACGAAGACATTTTGCCGATCTTGACGTTAATAAAATCGAAATGAAGCGCTTAAAATAATGTTAAAAATTACCATGCGGTTTTCCTGATAAATGTAACATTTTATTTTACCGCCAAAACCTCGTCAAAACTCGCGAGATATGGGGCAAATTTTCGCCAAAAAGTAATAGAATTAGCAGAAAGAATAGAAAACAGAACTGCAGCTAGAGAATATGAGTTCTCACTTCATTACATCACGACTGCGCTTAAATTCATAAAGTCTAGGAATAATAGCGAAGAGTTTATTCGAACAATTACCCTGAAAGTATTTGTAGAAAGGGCAGAGGGAGGCTACACCACAATGGTGCGAAAGTGACTGAAGCCGAGATGACAGGACAGGAAAAAAAACGAATTATTCGCCACATATTTCATTCAAATCGCATATGGATGTGCATGTAGCTTAGTAGTTATAGGCGAGGAAAACCAGAAGGGAAACTCCTACTGAAGGTAGTGAATCAAATCAAGAAGGATAGATAGATAAATAAATTGATAGATGTGAAGAGACCTTGATGGATAGAGTGTTAGATATAAAGAGAGATAGACTGATAATGACAGGGATAGATAGATAGATAGATAAACTGAGATTAATATGGACAGAGATACAAAGATATGAACAGAGGTATACTGATAATGAATATATATATATATATATATATATATATATAGTGATTGTTGATAGCAGTAAACGAAGTTGCATCTTTGTAGTGAGTAAAATGTTTTTATCTAGATAATAAAATTATAATAAATAATTATCGCTCTACTATCGGTATCGAGCCCTCTTTTGGATTAATGCTGTGAACGTTAGAATTTATATATTATTTTTCGTTCTCGTTGTATATATATATATATATATATATATATATATATATATATATATATATATATATATATGTCAAATAATACATTTAAACCTTTCTGAAAAGAGAATCAGATCCCCCTCTACATTAATGTCTATTCTAACCACCTGAAATCGATTATAGACCGTATCCTCAAAACTGTAAAGACTAGGACAAATAGATTTTTTCTAACCAATATATATATATAAGCACTCAAAAATAGTAAATTTAAACAAGATTTAGATTATCAAGAAGACTTGAAAAACCTTAAAGTTAATAAATTTAAAAACAGGAAAGTCATATGGTTCAACTCCCCCTACTGCAGGCTTTCCAATATTAACATAGGCGGTTTCTTTCTAAACTTAATAGATATATAAGCATTTTAATAGTAAATATCCACTAAATAAAATATTCAATAGGAAGACGCTAAAGATTAGTTCCTCTTGCGTTAAGAATGTGAAGAAAATGATCTCTTCCCACAATTGTAAACGACTTAGGAACTTTTATAGTAATGAAGTACAAGCTATTAACACCACCTGCAAGAAAATCAGAATGTCCTGTTGAGGGAAAATATATGTCAAAAACTGTAGTGTATAACGCAACAATCTTCCCCTACGAAAATGTCAACTTGAAGAGCTACATCAGAATATCCGCAGGAAATTGGAAGCAACGTATATACAATCACAGGTATTCTTTCAACCATAGATCCCTGAAATATAAAACAGCATTATCCAAACACTATTGGAATCTGGTTGACAAAGGACTCACCTCGCATTTGGAAAGGAAGCTCGAACTCTTGAGAACTTTCGAGTTTGTTGTGACCTATGTATACTGGAGAAAATATTTATAATTAGATATAAAAATCTGGAAGGGTTAATAAACCTCCGAAGTGAGCTTATATCCAAATGCAGACACAAACACCGTTTTAAAACAATTTCCTCATTATAAGATTTCATTCTTGGAATCTAAATATCAGATATTGCATTTACACGGATTGATACTTGAAATCACTTTTGCATCATTATATGAATTGGTGTCCTAGTCCAGATTTATATATAACTAGCAGCATGGCCCGGCGTTGCCCGTGCTTGATTCAAAAATCGGACGACTCATACAGCAATCGCTATCACTTGACTTAAAAATATCTTTGCCCTTCCTTGCCTTTAAAGGAGTGCCCTTTGCCGTGCTGATGTTGCTACGTGCCTTACTTTTTGCCTATTTCACACTGCAAATTTTTTCTAAGCTCTATACTAAACATTAAATCTGTTACGAAAAAAGAACTAAACAAAATGATCACAAAACGATAAGCTTTAAAAAAAAGACTCGTAACTGGAAAAACCGAATGAAAAAAGAATGTTAACAACAAATACTTTTTCACATCCAACCCAGTTCTGCGGAATCAGAATCAACATTGAGTTTAAGCAAGTGAATGAGCCAATTGGAGTAAAGTGCCATGCAGATTTAAATTTTTCCCACTTGTGACGAATGCAGCTATCGATTTTTTTTTTTTCAGCATGCTAGTTAACATTCGTGTCAGTAAGCTGTTGGCTCTCACGCTGGCCAATAGAATCTTCCTGCCTATTCGTGGCAGCCAGCTATAGGCTCTCACTTTGGCCAGTAGAAAATGGCCGCAAACTACATGAAAAAAGCATGAAAAAATCGATTATTTCCACTATCGATGGGAATTGGGAAATGCAACGTCAGTCTTGGCCTTTCCACTAACTTGGAGCATGTGCATGTAAATTTTGGTGCAAATCCATCGAAAATTGCGGCCATGCATTCGTTACACACACACACACACACCCTGCCTTTTATACATAGAGATTATGTTTATTGTATCTTTGTACTTATGTTGGTATATGTTGCATGATTATATGTATATATGTGGTTATTTTTGTGTGTGCGTTTGTGTATGTACATGTATGGCCATATATATATATATATATATATATATATATATATATATATAGATGTGTGTTTGTATATTTATGGATTGTATTGTGTACATTTGTATATGTATGTATATATGTGATGTGGGGCCAAAGTTGGTACCACAGAAGTAAAACACGGAACACGGATTAGAAGTAAGACAGATATATTAACAACAGGTTACAGAGATAGTGTAAGCGGAGCTTACTATAAGTTAGTGTCCAACACTGGTAGTCGTACTAGACTCTCACTGTCACTCTCTGTCACTCTCTAGAGTGCTATGTCGCCTACTTAATATAGGCCTGGAAGAGTCTATTGTGTAAATAGTTTCCGGTCTCACAATACCCACCCCCCTTCCAAAGAGTTTTCTTTTTGAAAAGGAGAGAAAAATAAAACTGTTAATACTTTTTCCTCTTGGGATTTACGTCGAGCGGTTGAGTAAATTTCCTTTTCCTTCCTGAGCGTCGCACTTCAGGAGAGTCTTGGGGCATGTCGAGATCGAACTAAAGATCTTGATGCGTGAGCCACAGCTTTTCGCGAATCATCTGGCAGTTTATGTAACCTGCAAGCACCAATGCCGTACGAGCTTGCATCACTTGCGACTATGAGGTCGAGACTAGGGTCGTAATGGGTGAGGTGAGTGGTCTGAAGTAAGAGTTTTCTTGATCTTCTCGAATGCGTCTTGGCATTCCGGGGTCCATGACCATGGTTTGTCCTTTTTTAAAAGTTAGGTTGAGAGGCCCTCTCAAATTTTGCATGTTCTTAATGAACCCTTGGTAAAAGTTAGCTAGGCCGAGGAAGCTTTGTAACGCTTGAACGTTATCTGGGACCGGCATGTTTTTGATCGTGTTGGCTCTTTCTGGATCCGGCCGATGACCATCTTTATTCATGACGTGTCCTAAGTATTTAATCTCTGGTACGAAAAAGTCACAGTTTTCCTCCTTAACCTTAAGTCCGTATTCTTGTATCTTTTCGAATACGTTTATTATATGGTTCCGGTGCTCTGCCGTAGTTTTACTAGTAACCAGTATATCATCCAAATAGGTTGTTACGTAGTCAAGGTCGCCCAGCATGGTGTCCATGACCTGCTGGAAAATTGCAGGCGCAACCTTTACTCCAAAAGCCAGTTTATTATATTTGTACAACCCTCTATGGGTGTTTATGCAGAGCAATTTGGAACTTTGTTCTTCCACCTCTATCTGAAGGTATGCGTCCGAGAGGTCGATTTTAGAAAAAATTTTTCCACCATTGAGTTTATTGAAAATTTCTTCAGGGCTTGGGAGAGGATAGTGGTGATCTTGCAAGGCATCGTTTAACCCTGTGGAAAAATCTGCGCATACTCGTATTTGATTGGGCTTCTTTTTTACGTAGACCGTAGGTGCTGCCCACTCGCTGAAATCTGTTTTTGACAGAATACCCGCTTGTTCGAGTCTATCTAATTCTTTGTTGATTTGCTCTAGAGCAGCGAAAGGGACATTCCGTTTCTTTTTGAATACCGGTTGTGCACCGTCCTTCACCTTGAACTTAGCTTTCATTTTAGTACATTTCCCAAGGCCGCCAGAAAAAACCTGGGGAAATTGTTGTTTGAGTTTCTTTTTGAGATTTACCAAATTGGACGTTGTACTTCGTATCTTGTGACAAAATGTACTCATTGGGCAATCCCAATGATTGAATTTTTCTATCCAATCAGTTCCAAATAAGTGATCTGAAGTTTTTAATACATAGGCATGGGCTTTTTGGTAACTCCATTTAGTGTTACTGTAAGTATTACCTCACCTAAAATGTTAATCTTTTCGCCAGTTACGGATTTTGCTGTTTTATCCGTTTTTAATAAGGTCGGCTTGTTTAATTTTCGCCAAGTACGCCAGTTAATGGTTGAAAGATCGGAACCCGAGTCAAGCTGGAATTTAATGGACTTATTGAAAATATCCACAATTACATATTTTCTTAAATTCCTATCAACAATATCGTCAGTTTGAGCTTGCCTAATTTTATTTTGGGGTTTTCTCGTTCTGTTGGCGTACCAGCACGAAGTTAAAGTATGACCACTTTTATTGCAATTTTTGCAATACTTTTTGTTCTTAACTGGACAGAATTTCATCCAATGCCATTTACCACAATGGTAACATGGTCCGGGCGGTTTCTTTAACTTATTTGGGTTTTGGTTACTGCGTAATTTAGGACATGAGATTTGCCTTTTGTCTTTTTGAGGGGAACAGGAGGTAGACTTACTTCTGATTTTACTAATCTGAGTCACACCTGATTCTTCGATAATGTTTGAGTCACACTTTACAGATATTACTCTTTGACAGTCCTCTGCCAGTTTTTGGAGAGTCAATCCTTGTTCGTTCTCAAGCTTGGTCAGTACCCGTCGTCTGACTTCGGCATCTTCTGCAGATACTAGACTTTGTGCGAAAATTAAGCACTTAAAATCATCGGCAGTCAGTTCGGCTAGTTTAAAATCATCACATAGCTTGTTTACCGATGCTGCAAACGTTAGAAAATATTGCTGGTTGTCTTTGACTGTGTTCAAATATTTCCAACGTTTGTGGAACAAGGTTGTGTTAGGCCCGAATAGTTCCGATAGGAGCTTAATAGTCTCTGAAAAATCCAAGTCAGTGGTTTTCTTGGGTAGTATGAAATCTACGAACCTACTATGCTCTGTAGTTCCCAGTTTCCTTAATAGTAGACATACCTTTTTTTTACTGGACCATTGTTCACAGTCTACGTTGAAAATATCTTCGTAGCGCCTGTAAAAAGCGTCGAACGTTTTGTCTTCCTCTGGTACGTATTCAAAGGTTTCTATTGAATTGTAGATTGTACTCTGGGAGAATATTGTATCTTTTTCAGAGTTTGAGCCTTTTAATGCATTTACGAGTAATTGTTTGTTGTTTCTGTTGTAGTTCAGCATTCTGAAGCGTAATTTGTTGGAATTCCATTTGTTGTTTATGTAATTCCAAAAATAGTAGTTGTTGTCTTTCTTCTGATTTTTGTTGCTGATCCAAATTTAGTTTTAACATTTGGGCAACTACTTTTTGCAAATCTTCCATATTTACAAATGACAGCGCTTTTTTGTTGCTTTGAAACACGTGTACTAAGAGGAGGTACACAAATCTTGATAGGTTATTGTTCCTTCTTTTTTCTTTTACAGAAAAAAATATGGACAGACAATAGTTAAACTAAACTAATTATGTGTTAGCTTTTTTTTTTAGATTCCGTGGTTCCGTTAATTTTAACGTAATTGTATAAATTTTCACCACACTTATGTATTTTTTTTAATAGAGTTATAAAAAGAGAAAACTCACCTCAGTGAATTTGAGTGGAGAATAATTTTATGCCCGAGTTCACCTCAGTTACATAAAAAAATTTTTTTTTTTTCGAAAACTTGAGTACAATGGTAGTACTTCGGTACTGTTTTTTTTTCTCTGTGTGAGTGTGTAAGAAATCGTTCTCGTAATGTTATTTGGACAGACTTTAATATTCCGTAGATGTCGAATCGCTAGTTCGTCAATGGTGTTTGGTATTGGAATATATATAGACGCTGGGTGTTTAGCTTTTAAATCGCTAATGTATTAATAGCAGCTTAATTTCACGTTCAACACTGCTGTGGGAACGCGTGGAGTTTGTGTATTTTTCGAGTACTGTCGCTATTGATATGGTGAGAACAAAATTCTCGAATCTTTCTGTCGCCACTGATGTGGAACTGGTAAGGTATTGAAGTTTTCGACGTGAATGCGTTTCTCGAATTCTTCGTCGACCCAGATGAGGGATTGGTAAGGTATTTAGGTTTCGCCGTGAGTGCGTTTCTCGAATCCTCGTCGCCACTGATGTGGGGCCAAAGTTGGGACCACAGAAGTAAAACACGGAACACGAATTAGAAGTAAGAAAAATATATTAACAATAGGTTACAGAGATAGTGTAAGCAGAGCTTACTATAAGTTAGTGTCCAACACTGGTAGTCGTACTAGACACTCTCTGTCACTCTCTGTGGGTGTGGCATATGAGTGTTGCATTTGTTTAAAGATATGCATAAGTTCGGATATGTGTGTAAATTTATATATACATAAATACAAAATCTATTTCTTGTTAACAGTTAATACATTTCAACCTTGAAAATGGCTAAATGTATAGCCGAAAGCGCTCGGATAAAAAGAACATTCGGACAGTTTTTTATATAATTTATAATCCGAAAAGAAAAAAAATTATTCGATCGCATGAGAAATTGTATAAAAACTAAATGAAAGCATCTTGTCTGTTGTTTTCAATGAAATGTGCATGAAAGAAGGATTGCTGCCTTGCACACACACACACACACACACACACACACACACACACACACACACACACACACACACACACATATATGAAGAAAAATTTGGAAAAAACAAACAAAAATCCTTAAATGCGATTATGTTGTTTAAAATGAATGAAATGTCGACGTCTGACGTTTCGGTTTAATAAACCTTTTTCAAGACAATATTCATTAAAATACAATTCAGTTCAATTTGACAAAGACGATGGACATAAACAACAAGTCTTATCCAAAACAGATAACTGAAAATTTTTTAAAATGATCAGCTTTCCGTTTAGCATGAAAAACGGAAAGCTGATCATTTTAAAAATTTTCAGTTATCGAAAAAGACAGTTCCATAGTCGATACAAATGCTTAAACATTGTAAAACAAGAGAATGAAAACTTTGTGACTTATGCAGCCAATGTAAATTCACAATGAGAATTATTTAAATTATTCAACCGAAAATAACTTCTATTCGTCTCAATCTAAATTTTAAAAAAAAATTCTCTATAATCTCTTATCTCTGAAGCATTTCTTCATATTCCATTCCCCAAATCTCTCTTTTCCGGTCATTATTCCTATGTCTTTGTTTCCACCCTCTCTCACTTTCATTCTTACGCGTCTTTCTTTCCAATTTTTCCCTCGCTTTCACGTATACACTTTTACATAATTTTTGTTATTTAAACCTGGAGAAATATTTTCTGTTTCCTTTAGAAGGTCTGATGTATTGGGGACGTTTTTACGATGCCAATGAAATAAATTATTACCTATGAACGTTTAGTGTTTGTGCCTTTTTTTAACAAGAATTATTGCTCTGTTTCTAACATAGAGCTCTCCTTGGATTTATATCCTTTTGAAAATATCCATACTGGTCACTAATATTATCATTCTATGTATATATATATATATATATATATATATATATATGTGTGTGTGTCTGTGTAAATCTATTTAAACACAGTGGGTGAAAAAACCTGGAAAGCACATTTTTCAAACAAATTGGCATCAGAGGAAAAAATTTTGAAAAAAAAAGGAAGGACCAGAAAACCCCGAACAGGGCAAAAAAAATCGTACAGCATCTGAAAACTCTGGTACAAAAAACAAAAAAAAACCCTAAAAAACCCCCAAAAACTAAAAAAACAAACAAAAACAAAAACAAAAACCCAAAAAACAAAATAAAAAACCAGCGACTAATAGGTTAAAACGAAGAGTGCCAAGTAAAGCAAAAGCAAAATAAATAAAACCTAATGAGCCAGGTTCTACCTACCTAGGTTTCGCCACATGGGATCATCAGCTTTTATATATATATATATATATATATATATAGATTGATAGATAGATATAGATTGATAGATAGATATAGATGTAGATATAGATAGATATGAGCAGATTGAGATAGAGTGATAGAGATAGATATGAACAGGGTGATATATATATATATATATATATATATATATAAATATATATAAAAGTGAACATAGAAGTAAACACTTAGATGGAGACAGTCTGTTTCATGCTAGACGCAATTGTGAGGCCACGAGTATTGTTGTTTAACCCAAATAAATAAATAAATAAATAAACAAAAAACGACTTCCGGTAAAATAACCACCAAAATAGACTACCCACAATGCACCATTGACCCGTATATATAAATAGCCGAGAAAAATAACAGCACGCGTGGCCTGACGATCGCGTCTAGCATGAAACAAACTGCCGCCTCTAAGTGTTGATTTCTATGTTCACTTTTATATTTACGCATGCTCTATCTCTGATATTGAGCACTTTATCCCATAAATATAGGACACCTTAAAACTATATTTCTTCATATATATATATATATATGTGTGTGTGTGTGTGTGTGTGTATTTAGATATAGATAGATATGAACAGATTGAGATAGAGAGATAGATATGAACAGATAGTTAGATAGACAGATATGAACAGAGTGAGATAGATATAAACAGACTGAAGTAGATATGGACAGATAGAGAGATAGATATGAACAGATTGAGCAAGATAGATATAAACAGATTGAGATAGATAGATAGATAGATAGATAGATAGATCAGAGTGAGATATATAGATATGAACAGATAGATAGATAAATAGATAGATATGAACAGAGTGTGATAGATATATAGATAAATATAAACAGACTGAGATAGATATTTACAGAGTGAGATAGATAGTTATGAACAGTGAGATAGAAAGAAAGAAAGAAAGAAAGAAAGAAAGAAAGATCCGAACAGACTGATAAATCGTAGATCAATAGATAGATGTGAATAGAAAATCTACGTTTTTATTTTAAGATTATCGATCTGAGATCCCGTTGATTTGGGGGCTTCCAATCTTTTATAACTCTAACTTCTTCCTCACTCTCTACCGGGGGTTGGACGTGCCGTTAAGCCTCGTTCTGAGATCAGTATTGACACTGTTGATGGTAAGCCACTTGCTAAAATCCTATTCGATAGAAATTTATCCAATTTCTGTCCAGTCATATATTTTGCCAAAGAATGACATTAGTTTAAAGGACGGAAAAATGGAAGAGAAGGGCCCAGCCTTCGACGGACATGATTGTGGGGATTCCTTTTGACATCTCCAGAAAATATTGGATAAAACGGACATATTCTGACGCATTTAGAGAACTTGTTTGTTTTTGTTCCCCATTATGTCTTGTTCTAGCACTTCACATATACGAGAGCTTTCAGAAAAGACATTGGTTCGAGCAACTTTGCAAAATCTGATCAAATGATCATATGATTTCTGAAAGGGATAATTGATCGTGGCGAGAACATTTCCGAAACCCCTTTTGCCATGAGATACATATTTCATTGTTTATGTTTCTCTCTCTCTCTCTCTTTCTCTCTCTCTCTCTCTCTCTCTCTATATATATATATATATATATATATATAATTTATTATATTAGATTAAAACAAAAACATGTTAAAATCGCTACACAACAGCTTTCGCGTTTCACCATTCAAATTGTGCCTCCTCAGGCGATAATAAATAACTGGTGAGTAAAAACTCATATTTAAATTTCAAAAGCAAATAAAAACAAAATCAAATTAAAATGAATCGTATAGGTTTACCTTGATTAAGCATTTAGACATCTGACCTACGCCAAAAATTGTGTATCTTGATCAAGTCAAAATATGGTCTGAAATATAGACATAGACACGGGTCGTAAGAAAATCAATATATATATATATATATATATATATATATATATATATATATATATATATATATATATCTATCTTACTTATTATAAAACGCAGATTGTGTGTGTGTGTCTGTAACGTTTATATATTGGATCGGATTTCCTACATTTTTTTAGCCGATTTCAAAAAAACTTCACAGGACGACATAAAATTACCTTGTGGTGGTTCTAACAGCGCCGAAAATGGGAAAAACACAATTGTTTTTTTAACAAAATCAATATGTAAACACGATTAAGACACATCGTGAGAATGAAAGGGGGACAACTCACATCAGGTTAAAAAACCCAAGTTGTTTGTGTGTGTGTGTGTTCCTTTATATATGGGATCGGATTTCTGACATTTTTCAGCCGATAAAACATCCACTTTTTTTTTGGCAGGTAGTGTTTCTTATTGTCTTGCACACTTTTTTCTTTATTTATACATTCAGAATGCTTTAAAAATTCCATTTACAAGACAATTGTTTATAATAAAATTCTATTCAATCGGGAGACTCATCATAACGATTGAAAACAATATTTTTGTTTGAGTTTGGGTTTGACCAATTCGTAAAAAAAAAAAACAATAATCTAACGATCTCTACTGATTGTACGAATCGAAACATCGGATAATTCTTTATCTTTAGGGAAAGATAATTCCACGTGCTTTAGGGCCGTTTTTACAATTCCCTTTGCAATTTGTTACAAGGCAGATCAATAAGGCATTGGTTCTATTTGAAATTAATTCAATATTTAAAAGAAAATATTAAGAAATAATTAAAAAATGCCGACGTAAGAAATCTGATAGACAAAAAACAACAATATTTCGAAGATGATAATTATTAAGGAAAGAACACAGCACTTACCTTGTAATAAATTAATAAACCCAAATAAAGTTAATATTTTTTGTATTAGAAACAACGAGTGGAAAATATATTCAAATCTGAATTCTAATTATGAATCACCACAAGCAAAATATGCAATTTTTTTTACTGTATTCAATAACTAAAAATCATAAATTGTAAAAGATTACAGAGAAAGGCTACCTACATTTTTCAACTGATTTCAACGAAACTTCACTTTATTTTGGCAGGTAGTGTTTCTTATTGTCTTGCACATTTTTTTCTTTATTTTTACATTCAGAATGCTTTAAAATTCCATTTACAAGACAATTGTTTATAATAAAATTCTATTCACCAATCGATAGACTCATAACGATTGTAAACAATGTTTTTGTTTGAATTTGGATTTGACCAATTCGTAAAAAAAAAGAAAAAAAAAAAAAGAAAAAACTAATTAAGACATGCGTGTCCGTCAACCTTAAACAATAATCTTTGTCAATTTTATTTGTCAGTCTTTATGATGGTCGATACTTGATCTATCTCTTACTTTTACATCCCAGGGCAACGCCGGGCTCTACTGCTAGTATATATATATATATATATATATATATATATATATATATATATATATATATATATATATATCAGTCTTTTCATATCTATCTATCTCTCTATCTATCTTCACCTGTTCTTATCTGTCAATCTATGAAGAGAATAAAATCCTTAGATGGATATGAAGAAAACAAAATAGATAGATAGATAAATAGATCGATAGCTAGATATGAACTGAGATAGATTGATAATGAACAGAATGAGATAGAAAAAACACAAAGATACATATCTTGCTTTGAGCAGTTCAAAACTTATGATCTGTCGATATGAACTAGACGAGATAGATATAAAAAGTATCATTAGAATTATATATATATATATATATATATAATGAATTGAAATTAAATATGGATCATATCAGACAGAATAATAAAATAAAGTACAAATAGGAAATGTTTATAAATTTCACATGTTCTTCTTTCATTTAAGCTTGATGTCAATAAAAAATAATTCATATATAAATCATTTCCTAAAACTGATTGTCGATGAAGCCTAAATACAAGCAAAACATATTAAATTATGGAAGTTTCCTGTTTATTCCTTAGTTAATCAGATACAGACAGCCACACGCGCGCATATATATATATATAATTATGAAAGCAGAAACTTTAGAAGCCCATGTTATATTTCATTTCGCAAAACCAATTCTTATATTACTATGAGTTTCTAAAGTTTCCGCTTTCATACATACATACATATATATATATATATATATATATATATATATATATATATATATATATACTTGACTCTTCTCCCGTCGACGTATAAGGTCACACAGATCAGTTTCTAGGAAACCGACAGCCCGACAACAGCACAAGAGATTTGATTATAGTGGTGAAGGTTTCGTGCAGGACCATCCACACCGAATACAGAGACTTGGTGCACTACGTGCCACAGGGTCCCCAAACGACCCTCCACAGGTTTTGCATTCAGAGACCAGTTGCCATCCAAGGCTATAGAATCCAGTCTGTCCTGCTATTTACCCATTGCTGGAGGGAGAAGAAGAGGATTCACACCTTTCCCAAAGGTAATAGCATGAAAGTGAATGTAATAGAATTCGACTGGAATTCGAACTCGGCTCTCCTATTCCTCAATCCAAGTCGCTATATTACTCTACCGTAACTGCCTGCCCCCACCCCCTCTCTCTCTCCCTCTCCCTCTCCTCTCTCTCTATATATATATATATATATATATATATATATATATATAAATAGTGCAGTATATATTATATCATAAAGAGGTAATCATACAAAGAATTAATCGGTAAAGTTATTAAAGTAATGTCTTCGTAGTTTTTCCACAATTTTGTACTGTGGATCAGTTTTTCATACATATATTAAATAATAATAATTGGACCATTTTGTTCACGCCAAAACATTTTTAAAAAATTCGTGGATTTACCAAATTACTATATTCACAAAAATATTCCCTCTTGAAATATTAAAAATACAACTTTAGCGTTACGATACTGCACGTTCCAAAATTATGAAACCGTTAATAAAAAACACATTCTTAAAAAACGTCTTTCGGTTTACAGTACATTTATTTTGTCTTGAAGTTTATCTGAAATGGAAAAAAAAAAAATTAAAGCCTGATGATGAAAATGTGAACATTTTCGAAAGTACCAGCACCGGAATATCAAATCCATCTTACAGTTTTAAACATAAGGATCGTGTCAACAAAGGGTTAGTAGGTTAATGCTTTATTAATTTTTTTAGCGAAGAGATTTCGCCATTAATTAATTCTTAGTATGATTACCTCCTTATAATATATATATATATATATATATATATATATATAAAATATATATATATATATATATATATATAAATTAATAACTCTATTACCTACCAGTACACCACACGGAAATTTTATAGAGAGATGTGTCCTTTACTATAAATCGTAACTGATCTCACGGGGCAATTCTGTTTCATTTAATTGCCCTAACTCATGCTTGGGGAGGTTGGTTGTGTAAATTGGTAAGGAATCTGTTCATCTTGGTCGATTAAACCAATCTTGATTTAAAACTCTCATTCTGTCAGCACTTTGTGTTTGAGAATGCCTGTTGAAGACACCCCGAATACCCAGGGGAGTTGGGCAATTTTGTTTTGATACAAGTTTATCAATGTTGTAGGCGTTCGGTCTGTCTTTGTGGTTGCTTAACAAAAAGAAATACTTTTTTTTTCACGAGACACAAAACCTGTTATGGCCAAAAGCGACATTTTGCGGAGTTTGAAAAGAATGTGTCTGCATTACAAATTCATACTGTTTAAATCTATATTGGAGTCGATATTTCAAAGGCGGGAACCTATCTATCTATCTATCTATCTATCTATCTATCTATCTATCTATCTCAGTCCGTTAATATCTATCTATCTATCTATCTATCTCAATCTGTTCATATATATTTCAGCCTATTTATATCTATCTATCTATCTATCTATCTATCTATCTATCTATCTCAGTCTGTTCATATCTATCTATCTATCTATCTATCTATCTATCTATCTATCTATCTATCTCAGTCTATTAATCTATCTATCTATCTATCTATCTATCTATCTATCTATCTATCTATCTCAGTCCGTTAATATCTATCTATCTATCTATCTCAATCTGTTCATATATATTTCAGCCTATTCATATCTATCTATCTATCTATCTATCTATCTATCTATCTATCTATCTCAGTCTGTTCATATCTATCTATCTATCTATCTATCTATCTATCTATCTATCTATCTATCTATCTCAGTCCGTTCATATCTATCTATCTATCTATCTATCTATCTATCTATCTATCTATCTATCTATCTGTTCATATGTATCTCAGCCTGTTCATATCTATCTATCTATCTATCTATCTATCTATCTATCTATCTATCTATCTGTTCATATGTATCTCAGCCTGTTCATATCTATCTATCTATCTATCTATCT